CCCTAGGTGGGGGCAAAGCCCTATGTGACAACATTTTGAATTTCCCGCCATTTTTTCCCCGCCAAAAATGCTGCGCTCTGATTGGCTGACGGGGAAGGGGAGGGGGAGGGGGAAAGGTGGAGGAGTGGGGGGTGGTCTCAAGTGCCGCCTTACCTACTCAGTTAAAACAAATGATCTTGAAAGCAAAAGAGAAATGTTGGAAGGGCCTGCTGGACGAACTAAATGAAAACGTGTGGGGGGATGCATATAAAATTGCAGTAAAAAGGTTGGGAGGAAGACAACCGCCACAGATAGACGAACGAAAGAGGATGGAAATTGCGAAGCCGGAAGCGGCTAATATAACTTGGACAAAAAGAAGATGCACTGCAGAGGAAGTCCCCCCTTTTGGAACGGAGGAACTGCAAAGGGCTGTAGATAAATTAAAAATGAAAAAGGCTCCAGGTTTGGACGGGATGACCCCGGAATTCGTCAGGTTGGTGGCGAGGGTGGCCCCGGAACATATGGTGGAACTTTACAATATGCTAAGGGACTCGTACTTCCCGGATATTTGGAAAGAGGCGAAACTAGTATTAATAGAGAAGGGCAAATCGAACGAACAGGGAGAGTCACTATACAGGCCGATCTGTCTGCTGAGTATGGTAGGGAAACTATTCGAAAGACTATTAAATAATAGACTGCTAGAGGAAATAGAAAGGAAGGGAAGCCAATCACACAGGCAATACGGATTCAGGAAAGGCAAAAGTACCCCAGACGCACTGGAACAGGTGAAGGGGATTACAGAATATGTAAACAGCGGCGCCTATAGGACAAGAGAATGCTGCGTAATGGTCACTTTAGATATTCAAAATGCATTCAACACGGTAAACTGGGAAGGGATTGTAGCGGTCCTGGAGGAATGGGAAATTAGCAGATACTTAATTGAGGTGGTTAAGAGTTATCTGGATAATAGAATTATATGGGTGAACGAAGACGAAAGGATTAATATGAAAATGGGAGTACCACAGGGGTCGGTTCTGGGGCCGACACACTGGAATCTATTTTATAACGGGGTCTTGAACATACAGCAGCCAGAGACAGTAACGGCAATAGGATACGCCGACGACCTTGAGATCGTGGTGAGCGGAAGAAGTGAGAGAGATATACAGAGGGGAGTCAGGATCGTGACACAGAATATTAGGGAGTGGCTACAAGAAAGAGGCTTAAACCTAGCTGCCGAAAAAACGGAAGCAGTGTTGTTAGTTGGTAGGAGGAAGATTAAAGAATTGCGTCCGGACATCGCAAGTGTAAGCATCACAACGACGGAAGCCGCCAAATATTTGGAGGTTACCTTAGGTCGAAATATGAATATGAAACATCATATTAGGGGGTATAGAAGAGAGAGCGGGTAAAACGACACGAAATATGTATGGACTACTTCCAAACGTTGGGGGTCCCAGCTTCATGAAGAGGAAGCTCTTAGCCACGGTGGTGTACTCCAAAATCCTATACGCGGCCCCGATATGGGGAAGTGCGATGGGATATAATAAATATAGAAAGATTTTGGAAAGTATCCAAAGAAGACTAATTATAAGGGTGGCTAGCGCGTATAGGACTGCGTCAACGGAAGCGTTACAGGAGATCGCAGGGGACATTCCCGTGGACCTGAAAGTTAAGGAGAGAGCTATGAGGAGGGAAACGCCAGAAAGACCAAGCGCGGAAATAACAACAACCATCCTCAACGAGTGGCAAGAAAGGTGGAGCAGAGACACCGGAAGGGCTAGATGGACGAAAAGGTTAATCCCGGACCTGAGACTCTGGATAAATAGAAAATGCGGGGAAACAAACTACTTTATAACACAAGTGTTAACGGACCACGGATCTTTCAGAGCAAACCTGTATAGATTCAAGGTGGCGGATAGCGATGGTTGTGTCTATTGTGTTAGTGCGGTTTTTGTTTGTGAAAAATGGGCCAGGGAAAGAGAGGAAATGAACCTGATAGCGGAGGTCGAGTTGACCCCGGATAATCTAGTCGTAAATCTAATAGAAGGAGCAAGGGGTGAGGAATTAAGCCGGAAATTAAGCCAAATTATGAGGAACAAGGAGCTAGAAGAGAGGAGATTGCAGAACGGGGCAAACTAAGGAAAAAAAAAGTGGACTTGAAGTAATACCTGAAGGTAGTTCCAAGTCCTACTTTAGGGAAAATAAGGGGAGGGGTTTTACTGGGTAGAAGTCCCACAGTCCCCTGCGCAATCGACATCATCGCGCAGGTTAGGTTAGGTTGGCAGCCACATAAAGATGTAATCAAGCAGAAAGGACGGTGGCTGCTCTGGCTAGAATTATGCCAAATGTTGGAGGACCCTCATATATGAGGAGAAAGGCACTAGCAAATGTGATTAACTCAATACTTTTGTACGTTGTGGTCGGCGGGTTTAAACATCCAGAAATATAGAAACCGGATCTTATCGGTACAAAGGAAGGCGACCATAAGAGTGGCGATGGCGTACAGAACCGTCTCCACAGACGCAGTGTTGGTTATAGTGGGACTGATCCCTATTAACTTACTGGTGCAGGAAAGAAGGAATATTTTCTTTGAAGAAGAGGGAAACCGGGAGACCAGGAAAAAGCTAGAGAGAGCCGAAACCTTCCGCAAGTGGCAAGAGGAGTTTGACGCCAGCCCTAACGGAAGATGGACCAGCAGACTGATCCAGAATGTAGAGGCCTGGACGCGCAGGAGGCACGGGAACCTAACGTATTATGTTACCCAATTTCTGAGCGGCCATGGTAGCTTTGGGGACTACCTAAAACGTATCAAGAGGAGGGAAAGAGACACTTGCAAAGCATATAATTTCAAAAAAGTCAATTTTCCCGAACTCTATCATGCTTTCTTACATACTACTAATTGACAATTTTTGAAAGATTACACTGATGTAAACTATGCTTGTGCAGAATTCTATAGAAAATTGTAAGATTTATTCGATCAGTAGATTCCTGTATATAAAAAGTTTAAAAAGAAAGTACCCATCTTGCTACACTACCTATACAGGGTGTCCGGTAACTACGGGTAAAAAATAAAGGGTTATATAGAGCAGGTCAAACGAGTGCTAGTACTTCATATAAACTTTTTACCTGAATGCCATTGCTGAGGAGTTATTGTCACTCAAAGTAAGAAGTAGAAAAATGAATATTGCTCATAATTTCTAAAGGGTTACTTTGATTAACTTGAAATTTGAGGGATCAAAGCAACTCATTCAAATGTATCTTTGTACATTTAAAATTGAATAAAATATTTTTTATTATACAGTCGAAATAAATAAAAAATACGCATTAAGATGTTTTATTTTTTTGCATCAAAACGGCGCCCCATACGAAGAAAAAGCGAGAGAGACTTTTTGTCACAAATTGAACGAGAAATTCAAAAATGATTTTTAATTTGTAATATCTCAGTGGCATACCATTTTTTTCTTTAAAAAAATTGAGATTATTACCCGTACGCGCGCCAATGATGAACATAAAATTCTTAATTGCGTGTCAAAAAATGCGCAATAACTACCTCTTAAAACCCACCAAATTTCATTTGCACATCTCGACCGGTTTCAGAGCAATAAATTAAATCGTCAGTTTTTAAGAAAAACTTTGACACCCCGTATCTCGGAAAACGAATCATTTGCGGACATACGTTTATAAGCAAACTGCCATTATTTTCTCATGTAGAATCACCCCCTGAAATTTGACGCACTTATTTACTAACATCCTATATAAGGTGTTGACGAATTAAGTACTCAAAATTTGAGAGAGTGTAAAACATATCGAAATATGATGAAAACTAGTAGAGTTTTTGTCGGTGACGACACCTAAAGGAGATCCGTCCCCTTGAAGGGGTAAGTCAGGAATTAGTTTTTATTGCATAACTTTAAAACGGTTTAATTAAATCATGAAATTTTGAGGTTTTATTACTATTTGTATGCTTCATAATCGATATAATGTGCAAATCAAAATCTACTACAGGGGCGTAAGAAAATGCGAGACCATGGACAAATTTTACAATTTTTTTGTACGCATTTTATTTCTAGTTCCTGAACCGAAAATATGAAAATTTATTATATTTTACATAAAAAAGGTACTCTTAATAATTTTCTGGTAAAATCCATTTCAATAATTCATTACGTGTTCAAAAATTCCTGCTGCAAAATAAATGTATTAAATTGTGCCATCAAAAAATTACGATTAGTGGCACTTTTACAGAAACGTCGTCAAACAAATGGTGTTATACAGAGTGTTTTTTAAAACTTACAACTCCTACAAACTTGATGTATGGTGATAATATCCGTTCATAACTTTTCCTCTTTTTACAACTATTTTTTATTTTATAGGTAATACCATTTGGAAGTTTTTGGACCTCTTGTGGAATTTTGATTAAATGAGCGGTTTGGGTACAAAAAAATATTTTTCAAATGTCTACATTATCTTGCCACCCATATTACAATACTTAATAGTGCTAGTAGGCACTGATTTTGTAGGTTGACTGTAATTTCAGTTTGATCTTTAAATCTGCCAATTCTTAATGTGTGTTTACCCCATTGATCGAAGGGTCGCGCGTCCCTTCGACCGAGCATTTAAATACTCCGCCTCGGACACTTGCTCTAGACAGAGAGTCAAGTCGAGACAGAGTGCGGACGCACGACGGTCGACTTTTAACTTTCAATTTAACTTTTATCAACCAGGTCGCGTTTATTTTTATTTTGCTATTTTATTAGCGTGACTGAGGTATACCAGGAGTCAGTTGTCTGAGCACCGGCCAACAATTGACTCTATAAAAAATTCGCTAACTTCACAAGGAAAAGCAGGTGCAGGTGGTTTGACAGTGGCGCCGTTCCTACGATGGGGTACGACAGTAAGACGCCCTCGAGGAAGCGAGTAGGCCCAAGCAAGAAGAAGACGATTCCTTAAAAAAATAAACTTGCTTCGTGCTCCGCCGGCCCGACGTAGGTCGGGTTACGTCCGGTCGGTCCCCGTGAGGACTGAGGTGGATGAAGAAGCGCATCGCTTTCAAAAAAGGTTTCTCGCTGAGTGCGTAGACACCGACTCATTGGAGGCCCCCATATACTTTCTTCGATGCTCGCTTGTCATCTTGGAAATTGATGGATGGTTGTTCTCGCAAATCCTACCTTGCTTCTTTTAAGGACCTCCCTGTGCCGCTGGTGCGCACAGCAAAGTCCCTAACGTGAAACGCGAGCGCGAATCTTCACCACCTCATCAATTCCCGGAAACTAGCCGCACGTAAGCCCGTTTTACGGCGTGCCAGCCGAGCACGAAGCGATATTTCACGGGTGACCGATGGTCGTCTTTTTCTTGCTTGGGCCTAGTCGCTTCCTAGAGGGCGGCTTATGGTCGCACCCCGTCGTTAGAACGCTAGCTCTGTCTTGTTTCTTCTAGGGCTTAGGGTTGACGCCGGCGTCAGACCCAGTGCAAAGCCTCACGGTGTGTTGCTCCTGTTCTAGCTTCTGTGGTGTCAAAAGACCGTATATCCTTGCAGGCGCTCGGCAACGGTCAATTAACTCCACCGGTGATTTTTCTCTCGTTGAGGCACGCGATTGCCACGGCGGTAAAGTTTATAGTCCGCAATAAAAATTGCAGACTTGAATTCTTAAGATGTTTTAGATTCGTAATAAAAATTACGAATCTCGTAGGTAGACTTTTGTTGGGGAATTACTATATTGAGTCAATTGCTGGTCGGTGCTCAGACAACTGACTCTTGGAGTACCCTGTATATCACGCTGTAAACGAATGAAGCTAAATGTAAATTATCGCGACCTCAGTGGCGAGTAATTTAGAAAACGAAATTTAGGTTGCAGAATTATGATGCGCATGCAGCAAATTACATGCGAAAAAACTCACGGGGTTTATTTCGATGCAAAAAGCTAAAATTAAATCTCACACGGCAAAAAGCTTAGCTAGAACTTCACGAGTTCGTAGCTGTCGTAAAAAAAACTTGGTTAGGACATTACGCGTTCGTCTCTAATGCGGAATGAACATTGTTCTCTTTTTTCAGGGGTTTTTATATGCTTTGTGACGTAGTTTAACCGTTATTTCTGCGCGGGAGCCAATCACGTTGCGCATAAGTGTAACGTTTTTTTTTCATTTTGGCGGGAAGCGCCCGTCGTCCACGCTCCGATCGAGAAAGTGCCGGAGCCCAACCCAAAACAGGCGGACGTGCACTGAACGGTGTCGTCACAAGGCTTCTTGACCCAACGTAAAACAGGCGGACGGGCGAAAACAGTGTGACGTCACATCCTCCGAAAATTCGCGTCCGCGACAATACAATATAAACCCCTAAGTCACCGCCACCGCGAAATCAGTCAAACATGGAGGAGCAACGAAGAAAATGGATACACACGCACATACGACAAATTTTTTACAACATGCCTCATTTTATTGAGATAATTATTAGTAAAAACAATCAAATACAACAAAAAATGCTGGAGATAAAAGTAGCAAAGTTGATGTTATTAGATTTAGTACAACTTATAAAAACTGTTCAAAATGGCCACCGTTAACAGGAACATTATTCCCTCTACCGACCATCGACGATGGAATCTTTGGTTCAGATACTGCCGGACTTTGACAGTGAAATGTGGTGGAGCTCCATCATGCATAAACCACAGGTTAGCTCGGGTAGAGTGTTTTGCAAAAATTCTAATCAAAATACGCCATTCAGTCTATTGGGTAGAATAACAGGGTCAATAACAATGCGTTGTATTTGATTGTTTTTTCTATTTTTTTAAATAAAATTAGGCACGTTATAAATAATTCTAATTCGTCGTATGTGTGTGTATCCATATCGAAAAATGAAGTAACAGGTGGTATATCTACCTCATCGTCGTAAACACTCACTAAGAATTGACAGGTACAATGAGTTAAAGATCAGACTGAAATTACAGTCAACCTACAAAATCAGTGCCTACTAACACTTTGTTAACTATTATAGGTAGCACGATAATGTAGATATTTAAAAAATATGTTTTTTTACCCAAACCGTTCATTTAATCAAAATTCTACAAGAAACCCAAAAACTTCCAAATCGTATCACCTAACAGATAAATATATATACAGGGTGGTCCGAATTTTATGCAGGAAACTTCGAGGGCAGATAGATCTCTTTAAAATAATAGCAGTTTGCCTTATAAACATAGGTCTGGAACGGCCTCGTTTTAGAGATACAGGGTGTTGAAGTTGTTAAATAAAATCGACTTTTTGTTTATATCTCCGGAATCTATCAACCGATCTCAATAAAATTTGGTACAGATAATGTATGATAGTAGGTCTTGCATTCTTTAAAATATGAGCTCTAAAGGTTAAACAAGTGGTGTACAACTAGACAGGGGTCACCCCATTTTTTATAAAAAAAAAACCTACGCCACTGCATTTTTTACAAGTTATTGTAACAGATTTATATTTTAATGTACAAAATACGTAAAAAAGGTAACTTGATTTTTTTCCCTAAGATTTGTCTTTCCCAAGTTATTCATACCAATACGATCTTGTGGCAGACACTATTAATCATAATATTACACAAATATTTATGTTTATACTTAAGTAAGTGCAATATGTAAGCACAAAATTCTCTACACTCATTTCCACACCACCTGTGAGGTAGTGTTCTTTGCGCTTTTTAGATTCCTAAAGGAAACCTAATACCTAATACAATATCCTTACAAATAAGAATAATTTGAATTAAAATGCATTTACATTTAATAATAAAAATACATTTACCAAGCCACAACTAAACAAAAAACAAAATTAATTTTACAACAATTGTTCAAAATGCGAACCACCCACATTGATACATTCCTGACATCTTCTATTAATAGAACTAATTGAAGCTAATATCATGTGGGGGTTTTCT